TCTTTCCAGGAACTTCTGAAATTGCACTGCCTCCCACCTGATCAGCTCTACCTTCTCAGATCTTCTCGCTGAACCTCACATTCTGCCTCCCTAACCACCCCCCCAACTAAGCTTTTATTCCACCCCCAACCCCTCTGCCAAAGAAATAATTGCTAAAGCAAGTTCTTCTTTCTTTGGGGCGCTACGAATTACACAAATACTTCTGCCTTGCCAGGACTTTCTGAATCTGTGCTTTGTGCTTAGCTCTGAAATTCCACCGCTCTACTCCCCACCAACTCCTAAATTCTCAGGAACCTCCCAGTTTCTTCTCCCTGACCCCGCTGTATTACAAGACTATTTTTTCAAACCACCCCTTACCCAGCACTATTCTCTTACTGTGTGTCCCTCATCACCTCCAACTTCAGCAAAATTCATACCTATTCTTTGTGACCAAAGTTCTGAACTTTTATCTTCTTTTTCAGAAATTACCTATTATAATTTTTGTTAATACTCCAATCTTCCCTATTATTGACACTGGTGCCCACTTTCTCTTTCTATGGATATGCCTCTGCAAGGTGTTTCTAGCCAACATTTATCATTAATGGTGAGTCCAGATTTCAAATTTTTTTTTCCCATGTTCCCAATATTCAATTTCTACCAGAAAATACGGACCCATATAATAATATCATTATTTATAATTTGCATGTCTAATGTGAAGAATTGAAAGCTCCCAAAAGTGGGGATGGTTGCACAACATTGTGAATGTAATTAATACTACTGAATTGTACACTTTAAAATGGTTAAAAGAGTAATTTTTTTTTTTTTTTTTGGCCGTGCGGCTTACGGAGTGACCAGGGATTGAACCCGTGTCCCCTGCAGTGGAAGTGCAGAGTCCTAACCACTGGACCGCCAGGGAATCCCTGAAGTATGTTTTATTTTACTTTTTTTTTTTTTTTTTTTTGGGTTGGGGGGCCTCTCCCTGTTGTGGCCTCCTCCCGTTGCGGAGCACAGGCTCCGGACGCGCAGGCTCAGCGGCCATGG